TTCTAAATTGAGTAGGAACTTGAAATTTTGCTCAAGTGCTCAGGTTTTTTGCTCAAGTTCATCTTGCACACAGAAGTCTAACAGGATACCTATTGTCTCTTAAACTTGAAATAAGTGTAAAATCTAACAAAGCCTTATGAGAGAAGTGGAATACAGAGCCTTAAAAATCAGAACACCACTTTTCGATCTCAACAAGCCCAAGAAAGGCAGCACCAGTTAACAGTTTAATTAGGTACTGTTGGGGAGGAAAAAAAAAAAAAAAAACACCACACACCCTTGTCTTTGGTAGGTAATAGTTCTTTTAAAAATTTAAAGGTCTTGTGAATTTTTAAGGGTAAATGATAAACAGTTTGTACAATAGTTACAGAAACAGATTCAAAAATGATTCTATTGCTTATTAAGTATTGTCTGGAAGTTCACAAGACAAAACAAGCTTTCATCTTCTTCAATTGCACTACTGTGCTAGACCGCTGAGACACAGGACCCCCGGTTGTCCTTTCAGCAGTTTTACTACAGCTTTTGTAGAGCTACTCTGTATTTATATGAATATTACTAAAGATGCAGGTCTAAGAGTATTTAAATTACATCACTGATATAGTCCTTTGATTTTGCTTTGTGTGAAAAGAGAACTTTGCCACCTTCTGTTACAGTAAGTATTCACAGTTGTCTTCCTAGACAACTGAATAATCTTGCAAACCTTGTGGTCTTCGCTTTCACACCAAATGTAGACAGACTAAACTGATAAAGGAATTGCTTCTTAATCTCCTTCATGGCAGAGAATTAGTTTCTCTCAATTCCAAAGTAAACCTAGCATTCTTTGTGTTTGATGCTTAAGTACCTGTAGATTTAACAGTTCTTCCCACTACAGCGGAGAAGGGATTTAGTATGAGTATTGTACATGAGAGAAGTTCATACAAGCTGAAGAGATTTATTTCAGTAAGCAAGTATTTCCGTATACTATTCAGTAGATTATGTTTGGTGCCATTTATTTTCAGAAAATTTTGAACATGTGTAAGGAATCAAAGTCTATCCCACAGATTTTTATACTCTCCTCTCTTTCAGACTAGAGCTGCTCATTTATCAGTATGGAAATTAGCATGAATGTCAATCAAAGCTAAACAAAAGACTATAATAACGTTTTCAACAAAAAGTCAGTTCTGATTCTTTCCCAATTTTATTTGGGACCTGTATATATCCAGAAAGCATATCTCAGGCTGGAGAGCTGGGCAGAGAGGAACCTCCTGAGGTTCAACAAAGGCAAGGGCAGGGTCCTGCACCTGGGGAGGACTAACCCCAGGCACCAGCACAGGCTGGGGGCTGACCTGCTGGAAAGCAGCTCCACAGAGAAGGACCTGGGAGTGCTGGTGGACAACAAGTTAAACATGAGCCAGCAGTGTGCCCTGGTGGCCAAGAAGGCCAATGGTCTCCTGGGGTGCATGAGGCAGAGTGTTGCCAGCAGGTGGAGGGAGGTGATCCTGCCCCTCTCCTCAGCCCTGGTGAGGCCTCACCTGGAGTACTGTGTCCAATTGTGGGCTCCCCAGTACAAGAGAGACATGGCCCTCCTGGAGAGAGTCCAGCAGAGGGCTACAAAGATGATGAGGGGACTGGAGCACCTCTCCTAGGAAGAGAGGCTGAGGGAGCTGGGCCTGTTCAGCCTGGAGAAGAGAAGATTGAGAGGCGATCTCATCAGTGTGTACAAGTAGCTGAAGGGAGGGTGTCAAGAGGATGAGGCCAGTCAAGAGACTCCGTGGTACCCAGTGACAGGACAAGAGGCAATGGGCAGAAACTGAAGCACAGGAAGTTCCATCTGAACCTGAGAAAAAACTTCTTCACTGTGAGGGTGACAGAGCATTGGAACAGGTTGCCCAGAGAAGTGGTGGAGTCTCCTTCCCTGGAGATATTCAAAACCCGTCTGGATATGATCCTGGGCAATATGCTCTAGGTGACCCTGCTTGAGCAGGGAGGTTGGACTAGATGATCTCCAGAGGTCCCTTCCAACCTCAACCGTTCTGTGATTCTGTAGAAGTCATTTTTTAAGCAACTATTTCCAAGTAACCCAGAATAAGCACAATCATTAGATCTTTTAAGGCTTCAGCTTTGACTCTAAATATAGGTAAAATATTCAGCCTTTCAAATATTAGCATTGAAGAAGCTATTTATGACAAAACACAGCTCACTGCATGGCTTCCTATATTTTAAAGAAACTCCTCCTCCCCTGTTAAAGTGTAAAAAAGGAAAACTGAACTTCTAGCATTTTACTTGAGGGAGGGCAGAGAAAGAGGAATGACATACAAAAGTCTTATTCATTTAGAATGTTATTTTTTGCTCATCAATAAATAATAGATTCAGTTTCTCTAGTCATAGTCATTCTCTGATCTCTTTACTCTTCCTCATATCCCTTTTCCCCTCCCATTTTCACCACTTAGTCTGGCATCTTTTCTTAATCATTTAATACAACAAACAGCTATGCAGTAGTGCATCTCCTCAACAAATATGGGCACATAGCTCTTGACCAAACAGACTTGTGGAAGAAGTTTTTCAGTTCTCATTGAACGCTTCACATTGCTAAGTGCTCTCTGGAAAGCAGCTTGCTGTTTCTTTCATTTACAAATCCTTCCAAAACACTCGATGCCATAACCAGTTTCCTTCTCAGTAAGGGTGACCTCCCCCTACTTGGCATACAGAAAGGGTCATAACAGCATTCAGTTTATTTCCTCGCTAGAGAAGCTGGTACCACACATTTGTTTGATTATACCCAAGTATAAAACATAAAAAGTATGAAATATCAGTGTATTTCTTACTGTATAATTTCCCTTTTAAATTGTCTGAAATTGAATTTGAACATGGATTCAAAGATTAATAGGAAGCAATCCAAACAGGAAATGGCTATGATCTGACATAATTAAAATGCATTTGTTATAAGAATTAAATCACAATTCAAAAAGGCTCTCTGAAATCATCGACGAAATTGTCCCAAGTAAAAGGTAAATTAAGAGCAGCTCATCCTATTAAGTACTACAGCACATAAGCCACTTATTACACTGGCCGCTCAAAGTTTAATTGAAATTGTGAGTTACTGTGCAAGAGTGTCTATCAAATAGTTGACCTATGCTATGTAACATCACTTCTGCAAGAGTGACCTTCTTAAAACAGCTACAATCCCCAAAAGCTATGAAACGCTCATGCTCAAGAATACAGCCAATGAGCACAAGCAGATAAATTTGTTTTAGCAGCTAGCTGAACACTATGGCATTCTGATCTAAGATGTAAGGACAGCCACAATGTAAGCATACCTGGTTAACGGTAATTTAACATGAAATATGGAGAGAAACAGGAAAAATATTAAATTCAACGCACAGGCACACAAACCTTAAAAAATAACAGAATAAAAAAAAGGGTGAGAATTCTTAAAGTCACTCACTGATGAGCCACTGAAGGAACCACTCCGAGCATAACTTTGAAGAAGTTAAAACAGAACTTTGTAACTGATGAAGAGGAAAAAGAAGATTACCATGGGTTTCAAAGGGAAAAAGCAAACATCATGGAATAAGGGCACATGTAGGAATGTGTAAAATTCATTAGAGAAGTGCTTTAAGGAGATTTTGGGGTTGTGTGAAACTTATTATGACAAGTTTACAGGAATAGTCAAAGGAAGGGAAAGCTGGTTCAGGGAGGAACAAGCATGGGAAAAATGGAGGAGAGCACCATATGTAATTTGGCTGCCTGTCAGTATGTTTTTCTGGCTGAACACTATGCCAGATCACCACAGTCTGTCTTATAATCTTATTAAATTTTATTCCTACTTATTTTCTGTGCAAGCTTGCTTTATTTGGCATGCATGTGTGAGATCCACTAGCTAACCTGAAGCCGGACTAGCCAGTGAATAGGAGAAGATCATGCCCTGGCAAGATCCAAGGTTAGAGCTGGGGATTGGATAAGACAGGACTAGAGTTGGACATAGACTCAAGCTCTGGTAGGGTTCGAGGGACCTGTACACGTGAGTATATTTAGGAATCCACAATGAGAATCTCCATAGTGTTCCACCAGTGAAATTCACGTCTGATTAGCTGGAAAGAAGAAACAAGATTTGGCTGTTCATGTTACATGAGCGCACTCTGTGTTTACGCAGGTGTTGGTAAAGGTCTTTTTCCTTTGTGTTTTCTCTGTGGCTGCCATATTTGCATGATGTACATGTGCATTTGCATCTTCGAAAGACATGCTCAGCCACCCCGGAAACAAGCAACAGCAGCACCTCTCATTTAATAGATTGGGAAGGAGAAGCCCCTTCATCTTAAAGTCCAACAGATTTGTATACCCTTAACACAAGGGAGGCAGAATTATTCACCATTTGAACAGAAAAGCATAAAGCTCACTTATTCTCAACTAAACCACTGAAATATTCAGCATATGAGATAAATCTCACCCCCCATAACACATCAGAGAACAGAAGGAAAAAAAAATAAATGCTAATTGTCATCTGGCATTAGAATTTTGTTTGATGCATACCATATCTGCACTACTCAATTCAGTCTCCACACATACTATATTAAACTTCCTCAGTCTCTAAAACAAGATGTCTGCCTACTGAAAGTGGTCCCTGCTCTGCATTAACTGCTGATTCATGTCTGGAAACTGGGACAAAGTCAGTTGGGCCTGGGCCAACACCACACACCAGAAATCATTTCAGCAATGTGACAGTTTGACAAAAGAATTTTCCTTGGCATTTCTTATTCTCACCTACATTACAAACACACACACACAAAATATAAATGAGTGTGTATATGTATACACATGTGGCCAAAGATGATAACAAAAATAAATACTTAACATTCAAGACGAAATAAATAATAGTATGTAAAAAGTAAGCGAATTTAACTCGGCATATGCTAACTGTTGAACAGTACAACATGAGTTTTCCAGTTTCATGAATAGTGAAGTTTTAATAGAACTAGTAAGAAATAATTATCACTAAAACACTTCAAAATACATTTGGTACTTACTTTGCATAGTCAAAAAGTCTGCTATCCCAGAGCTGATGAGTTCCTTTTGGACCAGAATGAAAGAAACAAGAATCCGTACCATCGAATTTGTTGAGACCATCTTCAGAGTTTTTTGATGCATGGCTGTGCACAACATCCAGTAGAACAGTGATGCCCATTGAGTGAGCAACGTCAATCATTTCCTTCAGATCATCTGGAGTTCCATAGCGGCTATCAGCATGGAAATGAATTGTACTGTGAGTGCACAATGTGAACTTAAATTCACAGTACTTAATTTGTTATTAACTGAGAATGAGATGTTAATACATTAATTGTGTTGTTGTAATCATACATTGTACACAAGTTCTTTTTTCCCCCCAGCCTCTGAAGTAGTAGCTGTTTATTACAAGAGAACAATTATTATTATTTTTCAATTTAATACTGTCATGCATGCATGCATGCACGCACTGTATTTCAGAAATAGTTCCACCAAAATTTTACTCTTCCTTTCTAATCAGCTTGGGGAAGCTAAAACATCTAATGCAATATAAAACATAACTAATACAACTTAAAGCTTCCGTTTAATGTTCTATACTTTCTCATTTTGTATGAGACAGGAATACGTTCATAATATTGGAACAAAATAATCCATAATTGCTACAAACGTGAGTGCATATTCATGGACGTCTCTAAGACGCTATCTGCTGCTGTCCTGCTTATTTATTTTGTTTCAGGTACTACATTATTTTCAAATTTATTTTTAAATAAAAATTTGTCTCCAGTGTGCGACACACATTTCCTTCACCTAATTAAGCCAGTTAAATTTCCTGTCTATCTAAATTTACCCGATTTGTCACCCGAGCTTCAAAGATTAAAAAATCACAATATTCAGGTTTATTATAATTTTCTCTATTACCTTAATCCATTTTCCATCTATTTTCACCCTAGGCCTCAAACCTAAGTGCGAGCTGTTGCATGCATGGGAAAAAATTTAATTCTCACAGAACATACAAAGTCATGATTTTATTTCAAATAAGTTTATTATGGAGAAGTACCGTAAAGTTCTTTGTTACTAACATGAATTCCACAACACAAAATCCATGCATGAAGAAAGCTAGAGCTGAACAAGTCGGCATACACTATGACAACTGACGTTACTTGTAAACTTTTGTTTGCACCATATGTTAAATGTTTCTGCAGAACAGCCGCTAACTATGCCAAACTGACCTCAGATTTACTAAGAGAAAGTTACTATACTACCTAAGCTAGTACTTTCTCTTTCCATTGAACACTTATTTGAACACCAACACATGAAGGCATACTGATTCTTCAGTGGATGGGGGTGAGGCAAAAGAACGCAAAAGCAGTAAAAGTGCCTAAACCTACCTGGATGCTGCAAAGAAGCTTGTGACCTGATAACCAAAACTAGCATAGTATGCATGTTCCATAATAGCCATCAGCTGAACACAGTTATATCCTATAAAAAAGTAAAATTAAAACAAAACACAGACACACACTTGCCTTAGGGATAGTTAAAAGAGGATGCGACTCCTGTAACAAGTTCCAGTCTCTGGTATCCTCCTCTTATTTTAACTGATTCAAACTCTAATGTATTATTAATAATTAACAGTTAACTAAAGATTCAATCTCTCTCAAAAAGTAATTCTACCTAATAGTTTATACTTCTATGACCTCACATTAAAAATGGGAAGGTTAATTTGTCAAGTGATCTACACATAACTAGATGCATTCAATTGAATCTCTCAGTTTTAACAAGCAATAAATGATATGCAAATATAATCTTAATTTGACTTCAGAATTATTATCTACGCCAATCTGCATGTCCTGAACTGCAGCTTCACTTTTGGTATTTGCAGTGTTGATCATGAAAGGAAAACAAAAAACAAAGGAAAACAAAAGAGAGACTGATTACATGTGTATTACATATGCTTTATGAAGTCTAATTGTTTTTTCTTCTCAGTTTACTGAAGAACCAAAGCAGTAGAGGAGGACAGTGAACTCTGTCTCTTGTATGACCTAAAATATTTTGGTGTGATATTAAGGGAGGAAAATCTAGAGGGGAAAATAACATACTAATGATGAAACGACAGTACTTACAACACGCCTTAACTAATCTTTAATGTCAGTAAGTGCCCCAGCTAACTAGCAAATAAGGACTATTAGTAAAGGGTAACCTTCAGTTTTAATCTGCAGCCTGTTGAGACCCCCTGCACATAACACTTCCCCTTATTAGTTTAACTAAAACCTTCACTGTAAACAATATACTGTTTCTTTTTAATTGTACTGCCATAAAAGCGTTATTATTTGAAGGTAGTTGGCATGAACTCAACAATTTGTCAGATTCATTGCTGTTTTATAATTCAGGCTCATTGCACTTATTCTTATTTACAGCCTTTTTGTAAATAAACAGTATAAATAGCACCAAATTAATCTCATTATATTTGCTAGTTGTTTATCTTGCTATTTGTCATGCATATAGTTCTACAAACTATTAATATCTTAGCATTCTTAAATACTGATGTCTTTAAGCCTGTCTTAATATTCAGAAATTTCAAAACTAAAAGCAAGTAGTCCTTAAGAAAGTACATTAAAAAACCTGCTTAACTCCCATAGTTTAACTAAGAACATTATCTATCGTGTTCTGTGTACCTAATCTGATACTGCTTTTATTTTGTGGCATATCACCACTTTAATGGCATTTTTCTTCCCCACAGAGAAATCTGTAGGTAAAGCAGAAAGCTTTCGTAATTCTGTTAAATATAGCCTCCTGGAAAGAAGGAAATTCTCTCCCAGTAAGAAGAGAATCACAGACACATAATGGGATGTCCACATTTTTTGTTGTTGAAGGCCTTCAAACGTGCAAACTCATTCATTCTGCCTGCCAGCTCAGCTTCGCTGAAAGGCAGAAGCCATGTTTCGTGAAACGCTGACTAGACAAGTAAGCCTAAGAAAAACAGGTGGCTTCTTCAGGCACTGGGGTGTATGAAGCCAAACAACAGATAAGCATAGCCACTACCCACAGAGATATCAACTACAGATGTCAGAATTATTTTACATTTAAGTATAACAAAATATACTTTATCACAAGGCAGCAAGAGTGAGCAAGTTCTAGTGTCATTTGCTACAGAAACAAGTGCAATGACACTACAGGAAAAAAAAAAAAAGCCCTTTCAACATACTAGGAGCTCTTTTCTAGAGCAGAATTGCTCATGCTTAAAGTTCTCCATGTTCTGATATTTACAGCAATTGTTAAAGCATAAAAATGTAGCACATCCAGTAAGCAGAAAAGACAATCTTTTCTATCCAGATACTTATCTTTTCTTAACAGTCAGATGTACATTAGTAGAAGTACTTAGGAATATGTTACTTTCCAATGACTATCATACAAAAACAGCTCCTTTTCAACTAAAAAGCAAATCGTGCTGAAAGCAAATTACCTTGCAATATTTATCTAGGCCTTTGGAATAACATTTTACTTAAATAAATAAATAAATAATAAAATATGTGGAATGAAATTTGATTCCTATATTTCAATCTATCTTATTTTTTCATAGATTGCACTGTTTTATAATTCTTGCTGCCCTAAAAAAACAAAAATGTATTTCTATAGTACATTTAATCTGAAAACACAAAAAACTGCAGACATTTGATGATTATATTTTGTAATAAGAGCACAGATACATTAAAATTTTGTCTCCATAACAATCTGTGTTATTACTTACCAAGATCCTTTATTCTAGGTAGTACATTGTATGTGAAGTTTTTATAAGAAGCTATTTTCCCTTCTGGGGAAGCAATTCCCACATGAGATTCATAGATTCTTAGGCTTTTCAGTCTCTTGGGGGAAGGATGCCTGCGCTATAATAAGAAAAACAGTTGTCATTAGAATACAACAGATTAGAAGGGCTGTCACAATCACACAGTTCATACAAATAAAGGCGGGGGGGGGGGAAAAAAAAAAAAAAATCACACACAAACATATCTCCCCTCCCCCTCCTTTTTTTAAACCATCTCTGAAAAAGCATAAACATTTTTGAGGTAATTAGGCACTGAACACTGTTAAAGAAAAGATGTATTTTATATTAATATTCTTCCTGAACAAGAAGCTAGACACTCCTGATTTGACATTTTTACTGTGGCCTTGTTAAGTACACTGACACATGTAAATTTATAGCAGTCACTGTAACGTCAGGTGCTTTAGAATGACTGTGAAGTTGTTTGGAAAAAGAAAAAAATAAGGACGCTTTTGGGTTTGCTTTCTAAAGCATACCTGCTTTTTATAGGTATTTCAAGTCACCTTTGTCTGTTCTAACAAACTATAAAAATTTATATTTTAGTCCTAAAAACACAGTTCTACAGTGCACAGTGAACTATCTTCTGCCTGTGTTTTTAAAAGAAATTATACCTATAGTAAAGTGAAATACAGTATGCCATATTTAAAGATCAGTGAAAATATATTTAAGACTAAATAGACAACTGAACCTGATTACAAAATCTCCTTCTGTAAAGTAAGTAAAGAGTTTACACCTTAATCCGGATTTTATTTATTTATTAAATAAAAATCTCATCTAAAGAAACTAGCAAAAACTGCTGGTCACATCCATTTTCTCCCCAAGGTTGTTTCAACTCTTCCCTCTCCAAAGTTAAAAAAGAAGATATTACAAGATTTTGTTTTCTGTTTGCTAGTTTAACGTTTAAGGGAGGTGTTGAAAAGTTAGAACAAAAACAGTAAGAATAAACACATATTGATTTGAAGAATCCAGCTAGTATCAGAAACTAAAAGCAAAAGGAACAGGGGGCAGAACAAGGCATTCTAGGTAAGGTTTGTCAACTGTATTTTACTTCCACTATGCATCTCCTTTCCACAAATGGATTAGATGCTTTTCATCCCTCAAGACTGGGCAAGACCATGTCTGCTCCCTAGATGTTCTTGTTTCCTTCTCACTCTGGGTCACAAAGGTCACTGCGTTTCCAACTGTCCCTCAATTCCTTTTCCTATAGAGGATCTAGGCACCACAGAGCATCATAGAAACTGAATTCATATGCCCTGTATGCCTAAGTAACACGTTATTGTAGATTTAATGACTTTTATGTAGCTGTAATGACTTGGGGGGTGAGGGGGAGGAGAGAGATTTTCTACACAAGTCACCCTTCTGCTGTCAGGCAGCTACTTCATAACGAGAGGCAGGTGCTAAAAATCTTAACTCAAACCAGTGGCTGCAGCACCTCTAATACAGACTGCACCGCATTTTGGCATTTCACTAGAAATCTGTAAAGTGCAAGAGTATGGCATAACATCACATAGTCATTCTGAATTCTGAGTTTTTTCCTCAGGCTATTCTTTACATATAACGTAAAGACTTCCTCTCTTACAGCAGTGCATGAGGGGTAAGAAGACTTTAAAATCCATAAAAAGATTTTCCTGACATGAAGAAACTAGGATTAAACTGGAGCCTGAGCAGCTTCCTTCTGGACTTCTTCTGATTTCATATGGCATTGACTTAGAAGTACTAAGTTCAGTACTTCAGGAGTAATTAACTCATTTTTACATCCAACTCTGACAAATAGTTCACTCCTCTAGATCAGAAAGGGCCAACCAGCCACTGTCACCAAAAAGGAATAGTTATTGAATTGGCCTAGGATGTGAGAAGCTAAGACACACCACTTTAATAACTTTATATATATATAATATATTTTTTAATACATATACACACACAAATACATACACACACACACTCCAACACGTGAGACTGGAAAAATAACTCCAAAATATCTATGGTAAAAGCCACTTTTTTATGTCAAAGTCTTGAATACGCATTCTTCATTTCTCAGGTGACTATTTTAATTGCTGAACTACCTTTTTTGTGGAATGCTTGTATTTTTTTTCCAAACAATGACACTTCATTGCAAAAAGAACAAAGTGATAAAGCATACACATCTTCATAAACCTTTTGAAAATAATATTTAAGCCTTACTATATATGACCGTGGTGGATTCCAGAATACCCAATCATAATTCACTTTGTCTTCATCACGGACTACGTATCTTGCCCAAGGTGAAATACGATAGAGGAGTTCGCCATTTTGAGCACGAATCACCACCTATAAAATAAGGTAACTGTAACATATTCATGCAGCCATATATAATTCATATAATACCCACTGTATAAACCATAGCAGAGAACGAAATAGTATGTTATGTTTAAATTGAATTTAATACATAATGCAAGTCAAGACAAGAAAGAATGACCTATATCACAGAGAAGACTTGTAAAGGAATAACAAATGGGTATATCAGACATCGGAGTGATCTTCAATAGCAGGAGCTAAAAGATGAGAATATATATATAAGCTTCATAAAAATAATGGGAAAAAGAGGCTTCTCAAATAGGTAACTGAGGGAAATGTATACATTTCCCCTGTCATTGCCATTTCCCCTCCACATTCTTAAAATTTAAAAGGACATGCAGTATAATGCTACCAAGATGAGAACCATGATTTGTTTACTCGGAAAATAATCTAGTAGGTCAATTTTAACATGTTAATTTCCTCTTCTATGCTCAGTGAATTATGGCTGATATAGCATAGACCAGAATCACAGATTAAGTCAAGCATAAGACAGCTTCCAGGCCAAGAAGAGACTGAAGGATAGAACTAAAATTGCTGGTTTTCCTCTGCTGCCTTGGAGTTTCTCTGGATGCCTTCACTATTCTAATGACAATATAAATGAAAGCATTATCAGATATTTTATTTTCCTTATTTAGTGCCCTCTATTTATGAGGGTAGATAAAAAAGGACCATTCTTTTCAATTCCCCCCAGAAGCTCATACTTCATTTTGCCAGAGAGAGCAACCAAACAGAACAAACCTAGAAGCTTTTAGAGCATTATGTTACATAACAAAAGCAAAACTGAAATAATTACTAGAATAATGTCACCAGTCTAGTTTTGCTAGGTATTTTGGCTGCCATTAGAACAGAAAAAGAGAAGACCTGCAAATTTAGAACCCAAAAACACATAAGCAATTGAAGTTTTCCTCCTGAAATTCTTAATTTTTCATTTATTAACAAGTTGGTTGGTTGTAGGTTTTTTTTTTTTTTTTTTGGGGGGGGGGGGGTTGGGGTGGGAAAGGAAGGAAGAGGGGATGTGTTTGTTTCTTTGTAAGGATGAGAACTACCAGTATGGTAAGGAGAAATCCTCAGTGAAGTTGCATTTTTTCCTTTAAAGAAAAAACAAAAAGGGACTGTACTTTGCTCTTTATTCCTCACTTTGCCTAACCACTTGTGTGGAAGGAAACAATTACCAAACAATTGCTTTTTCACCTGTAGCAAGCATCTTTTATAATTTTGATGAATTACCTGTATCCTTATCTGAGCCACAGGAGAAAATACAATGAAAATATGCATACAATGTAGGTTCGTGACAGGTGGTAAAGCAACCAGAAGTCAATGAAATGGAATTCCTATATCTTTCCATTTATATTATTAAAGACTCTACCACATTCAGCTTCACTGACAATTCAAGATAAGAAAGAGTAACTGACACCAACCACATACTAAGAAAGAGCTGAGAAGTAATTATTGCAAACCCTGTACAGCTGCATGGAAAAGTCATTCTGCTAGCAAAGCTGGCCATAAGGGTCTTTCTATAAATTGTAACAATGCTATAAAACCCCTTCTGGCTAAGGGCATTAACACAATTTGCAAACTACTCTTAAATTAATAAAAACTATCTATTCTTTCCGGTACCACACTTCTGTTGATGCTACTACTTGTTTTATTAATTTGTCTCAATTATCTAACATAAATAATTACAGCATTTAACAATCATATCTAGTTATTTATCTCAGTATTCTTTTCTCCAGTATCTAGTGTAGTGTTATACTAACCAGGCTTCTGAAGAGTGGACATATTTGTAAGAATGTTAGGTAATTTGTACTTAGTTATTTTTAATTGTATATTACTATAAAAGCCTAGATATAGAAACATTGTTTGATTAGACATAAATGGTTTAACCTGGAGATGTACTGGAGGTGAAAGAAGAAGAAGAGTTTATTATAAAATACTGAAATCAGTCATGCATGTTTAATTTAGTCCATTAAGTAATAAAAATAGCTATGGCTGCATCTGGTTGAACCTCGCCATAATTACTAATGGTACAAGCCTTAGCGTGCCCCGGTATTGCTGTCATTTTTGAACATCATCATGAGCTCTACACTGCAGTATAATCGAGAGGAATGCAGAATCTTTAAAATATTAACTGGACCAGCAAATGTACATGGCAGTTGTAAAGTACATCACCAGAATTGGCAGCTACCCAGACAAGGGATCATGGAATCATATGGATCACTGGAATTACGTGTTCTATGTATGTTCTATTCTGTCCAATTCATATATGATCATGTCGCACTCATATATGTTCAAAATGTCTCTTTGTACTCATCTACCTTCATCTGCATTTTCATGCCTGCTTCTTTTGGCTGCCTCGGCTGCCAATGTATACACAACCTTCTCCAGAATAGTGGAGGAGAAAAATTCAAATAAATTGTTACACACAATATCCTATACAATTTTCCTCATCTTTGCATCACTACCCACTGTAGCTTTCAGTTCCTGCATCTAAAGATCTCTTTAACAGTAAGCGTAAATTCTTCTACGCATGACCATTGTTTTCAAGTGATGCATGTTCCCTTAAGCCCTCTACTTCCACTTACACTGATGACTATACAGGGTCAAGCATCTGGGGAGGGGAGGGGTGTCTCAGTGATGATTCCTTATTTTTCAGATATTTTAATTCAAAAACTAGCATCTGCAAGAGTTTTGGTAAGAATTAAAGAACTAAGCCTGATATTTCGCAGTTCAGGAAATGTGTTATATGACAGTTTGTCATATAACAAAACTTTGGTGGGGGGAGGGGGGGAATGCAACTAACTTGCAGATATCCAAGCCAATAAACTGCTCCGAAACACTCTGTATTATTATTTCATTACTTTAATAGCTTGAAAGCATTTGAAATGACTGTTGGTACATGTAGCTTTTTATCCAGTGATGAAATTAAATTGGCCAGACTAATAAGTTAACATGATAGAGCGGACTAGCTTTAACATAAAAATGTCAATGCCTTATTATTTATTGCCTATGTATAAATAGGCAATAATGTATGAATACATTATTATTTCTCTATTTTCAATTTATAGCATTTCCTTAGCTTCATATTTATACATTTATGAAACAAGATTATCTGAATATAAAGGTCATAACAGCCCAGGCATAAGCACCACCGTGACTTGGTAACACGTACTTGATTTGAAAGCAAGTTCAGTCAAAAAAAACCCAAAAACATGTTAGAATCAGGTCTTTCCAGAAGACTCTCTGGAAAGTTTAAGTTAAATGCTGTAATAAGCCAACCAGTTTTGTCCATAACACAAACTTCTATTAAAAAAACTAAAATTCAAGATACTTCCCTTTCTTACTTTTCTAAAGGTGGTTAGGGAAGGAAAAAAGAAAAGCTCAGCTCTACTCTAATTTTTTTTTTTGTATAATTCAATACCTATGTATTTCAAACACCCCAGCTCGCTGTCCCCTTCTTTTTTCTTATGTCTTCAGCATACTCCAAAAACGTTTCAGTCCCTCATTTTGAGTTTGAGTCCCTCATTAAGCAACTCATTCTGGCAAGCAGAGACAAACTGAAACTAACACTAATACAGAGAACCTTAAAAGGAAAGCTCCAATGAATAGTTAATTTTGCAGCGTGAGAAGCTCTTCTTGCAAACTGGTTGAGCCTCTGTAAGAGCAGCTGCTCCACTCGGGATTTCCTAACAATTTTTAGAACAAGGGCAGTAATGAATGGACCAGCATGAGAGGTTGTAGTATAAGAAGGAACCCTATTTTGTTAGCCTCAGATATATACAGCAAGGGGCAAATACAGCATCTTCACTACTGCCTTACAATTGCTGCTACTGCAACATGACCAGCTACCAAGCCCGAGGTAGGAAGGAGTGGGGAAAAGGGATCAGAAATCAGAAAAGATTGCAAGCTCACTCATCCTCAGAGAGGAAAACAGCCAGTCCAGCCAGCAGCACAGCAATAACTGATCAACTATTTAAGTATTCCCCTAACCAGAAGCACCTTCCCAAATGGACACCTCTCCAAATCAGTGAGGGAGGCAGCAAGAAAAAAAGAAAAAAGAAAAAAAAAAGAGAGAGACCTTTCCAGAGATCAACTCCCACTGGAAAGCTTTATCATACTCTAAAACCCTAAAGCTCCAGGAAAATCAAATAGTTCAGTCAAGGATCATTCAAAGGTCCTTTGCTAACAAACTAGTTGCGTACAAATTGTGGAAAGAAGTTACAGAAAGAATAGACAGTATGTAGCTTTTGTCAGGTTGTTTTCCTTCATACACTGAAGGTCAGATAAAATTGAAAAAAACATCACACCACTCTAGTCACATCACTCCAACTCTCCTCTTCTCCTCCCCCCCCACCAACTCCACATTACTATAAAAATAAGTCAGTCAAGACAAAGTTCTTATCTATTTTCTCCTCCAAGCAATTTTCCAGCAAAGAAGTCTGCTAGAGAAGACTTGCATGCATTTACACCATATACCTTTCAAAAATTATTCATTAGCTATTGGAAACATACTAACACTTCTTAGAGGGTTACATAATATAATTTACCAACAATTTTACAAAGTTCTGTGTGGTTCAGAAGCCATTTAGTAGGAGTATTTGCTGTGCTGGTTATTTTTATATTAATATACTATCACACCAGCTATTAGCCTCTAAATTTATTAGGGATATTTAAATATGTCTTCAAAAGGAATTTCCTGTCTATCAGGTTTTACAAAAATCAAAACTAAAAATAAGCAAAAGCCTAATTTCAAAGCAAGTCATGCCCTGACTTTCCAAAAGAGGGAGATAACACTCCATGTGTGAATTAAACAGGTGTTTCAGTGAAGTGAGGAACCTAAAAATATGCTTAGCTAGTTTACTAGACTAGATTAAAAAAGAGACACACTCCTGTCCTTTCCTCCCCGCTATTTCCATGCTTTACTTGAAAGACATAAACCAAGAGAATCTGAAGGAAATAAAGCATAGAATGCATTT